GTAGGTAGGTAGGTAGGTAGGTAGGTAGGTAGGTAGGTAGGTAGGTAGGTAGGTAGGTAGGTAGGTAGGTAGGTAGGTAGGTAGGTAGGTAGGTACACTGTGCGTTTGAAATGTTATGCGCTAGAAAAGCGATTCGGCTACGGAGTGAGATAGTTTACCTTTCAAAATTTGTACGTATTGTGGAATGGTTAGCATATGGGGTAGCAAACATAGCTCTTGACGCGCAGCGTTCCACGCATCGTAAACGGCTCGTCTCATCTTGTCCTTTTGGGGACGTATGGTTGTGTCGCCCTGGTGCTCAAGGACCATGACCAGTCCTCTTTGGTGTCGTCGTAGTGAGGCCAGTAGGGTGGTGAGCTCGTGGCTTTCCCATCATCGTCGCCATTGGGATCAAGCGTATATGCAAATGCAGCATAGAGTATGCCGAGGAATTGATCTATTCCTTCGATCGAGGTGTTTATAAACATATCTCTGCGTAATTGCTCGACGAGCCTGTGTGTGAACCTCAGGATCATGATCCTTGGCCCGCATCCAAGTTCTCTTGCTTGCCAACATGGTCTCGTAGTGGCGCTTGTGAGTTACGAGAAAAACAATGGGGACATATTGACGAGGGACGTTGTTCATAGAGCACAGGTCTCGAGAGCATCTCTGCGACAATTGGAACGAGTCACTCTAACGGGCAATGTTTTCCTAGTATGATTATGCAAGGCGCGTGTTGCTGCAACAAGGGAAACGGCGGAAACGATCGAAGATAAGGGAAACAAACTACATCAGGGTGATGGTCACAGATGATCGTAGGCTACAATCGTATCGCGGCATCGTCGCCCTCTTGTAGATCTTGTCGTTTATTGTTTGACGAGGCTGTGTTTTGTGTCAATTTGGCTTGACTCAGCACGTCATTAAGTCCGTCACGTTTTGGGTGCAGATATCCGTAAGCAACGGACTTTGCTCTTCTTCCTGTGGTACTTGGGACATCTCACCTTAACAACACCATCTCTAGGTCGCGTATAAACATACTGTCTTAGGTAAGGAGTGTGATGAGACCTTTGCGCGAGGAATATCTTACGTGTCACGCAAACTCCACGAGCAAGTCAACACCTCACTTTGCTCCTTGAGATGCTCAATTTGCGTCTTGTGTTTCACTCCTTGACCATCCTTCTACCTTAACTCTCCGGGGCACACCCAGAAGGGGTCCCTTCTGGATGCTCCTACTTTGTGTTGAAGTCCATGTGGAAAGCCTATCGTCAAGAAAAGGCGGCCTCTGTTCGGGAACGCCAACGGAACCCAGAATTGAGAATCTCAAGATAACCCTCGAGACACTTTACGTGCCTCCTGTCTAACGTGAGCTGCCCTGGTCTCCGCCTGCAAGTTTATTCTTCACCCAGCGTGTTCTCCGTCTCGCTCTTTGTCTTTCTACTCGCCCCATCTCTCTGATCTAAAGAAATGTATGCGTCGGTCATCTATACGATATTTTCTTTGAACTTGAGACGTCTCGTCAGAACGTTTTCATTATACCGCGTGAGGACGGAATGCGACGAGCTACTCCCACGCATGATGAAACAACAACACAGGTCAATGGAATGCAAGAGCCCGCAGGGGCCAGTCCTCCAAAAAATCGCGAAAACAAAGAAAGAAAGACACCGACCTATTTGTTTGCGTTGGACGCTCCTGTTTTCTCACCAACAGTTAACATCCCCTTCTACCTCTCTCTTCATTCTCTCTCCTCCTATGTCTTCTCTGCAAGCGAGTCGCCCTGCCACCGCCAGTGAGATCCGGCTGCAACCTGCAACCGGCTCAGGCTGTCGGAGGAGTAAGCGATTGCAAAACAAGCCTCAGGTTTCCTACGCCCAAACCGTACACCGAAAGCGCACCAATACAACACACCCCGTGGGATTGGATCGGGAATCTCCAAAACTTGCCCCCTCTATCCATAGCCTGACGGAGGAGAATCTGCGAAGATTGAACGAGGAAGAGATGGCCACGAGGAAAAGGAATGGCGAAGAGACCAGGACAACCACAAAGCGGACCAAAACTCAAAGCAAGCAAGCACCTAGCACCAATGGTGGCTATCGCTTACACCGTCTCAATGTCGTTAACATCTTCTTCGATGAAGATGTTCCTGACTACCTTCAAGCTGCGATCGACAAGATTGTGAAAGGAAAAGTTTCGTCCGAGGAGCGCCGAATTGTGATCCGCAACGCTGCTGAAATATTCTACAGTTCTTCCCGGGAGATCAATGATGATAGAAGTCTTGAGGTCGAGTTTGTTGGTCTTTGTCGTGATGCGCTTCAAAATATGTCGAGACCGGGTATCTCCCTTCGACAAGAAGCCGATTGGCGATGTGAATTCAAGCCAGGTTTATCAAAGGGCAACCCGATTTTTCTAGACGCAAACAGGGCTCCCGCAATCAAAACGCCTTGTCCGGACATCACAATTGGTATTGGCGGAAAACTTTTCTCAGACTCTCTCACCTCAACGATGCTCTCCCAATCTCAGGCCCAGGAATTTCTTCGAACATTTCAGGCGGAAGACGACTCCCTAGGCCTATATGAAGAGAAGCTACTCATAACGCTCATGGAAAGTGGTCGCGCCTTTTTCCCGTTTGCGACTCTTGAAGCAAAGGCTTACTTGACTGGGAAGCAAGTCTCTGAAGCACAAAACCAGGCCGCCGTTTCCGGGGCGAGTGCCCTCAAGTTCCAGCTTCATCTTACGGAGATGGCCAAGAGCGCAGTCTCGGAGTTTGACGATACTCACCATCAACATCCACTCTTCTTTTCCATTTGCACTGAAGGACCCTACCATGAGCTGTGGGCTCACTACACCTGCGTCCAGGCAGGTCGGCGTATCTTCAACATGAAGCTGGTCAAGATCTGCAACGCAATGCTGAAAGAGACCATCGAAGACTTCTTCATCGCGGTGGATAACGTGTTGCGCTGGGGTGCCGACACGTTTCTAAAATCGGTAGCAGACCGGCTGCGATTGGTGGCGATTCAGACATTGGACAGAGTCGACCGAGCGAACCCAGCGAACCCAGCGAACCCAACGAACCCAACGAACCCAACGAACCCAACGAACCCAACGAACCCAACGAAC